CACACACACACACACACACACACACACACACACACACATACACACACACAGCTCTGTTCCTGATTAGACAGCCGTTAACTCTGTGGCTCCTTTAATTACAAGTTGTGTGTGTTTTTCTGAAGTTCATTGTCTCGTAAACAAACTTGTATAAAATCCTATCTTCTGCTTCCTGTGTTCTTACATTCTGTTATGTTGGCATCTGTTCTCTGTGATATCTCTTTGTTCTCTGGTGTTCATTGTTCTCTTCTCTCCATCTTCTCCTCTGTCCTGGTTCTGTTTTTCTTCTCCTCATTTCTCTCCTTGTTTTTGTGTTTTTTCCTTCTTCCCTCAACATAACAACTGGATAGATTTCCAGTGGAATTGGTGGAAAGATGTTTTAATGGGTCCGAGAATAAATCAATGTTGGTGTGGATCTGGATCAGGAGGCGGATGCAGGATTTCTTTAAACACAAGTACTAGTGTACTAATTGTTCTCAGAGAATAATTTCGTGGATCTGGATGAAATAAATCGACATGTGTAGAGGACTGATATTGAATTTAATGGAGCCGTTAGTGGAGGACATTTTGATTTTGGTCTCTTCCTGTTCTTCTTTGGTCTCATTCTTTCCCCTCACACTCTCTTCTGTTCTTCTGCTCTCCTCTGTTCTCTCCAATTTATTTTCTTGTTCTTTTCAGGTCAGCTGATTTCCGATGACGTCTCTGAGATTTTTACCCGGTTTGACAAAAGCTTCATCATACAGTATGGAAACACCCTCACCACCAAGTCAGCTGGGGCTCAGTACGACGACAGTTACCTTGGTAACCATGCACTCACATCTTTCATTCGTTATCTACGTTGACCATTAGAATCCGTAGGAACATGTGTAATACTCACTGAACATTTACAGAAGTGAAGCTGTAGAAAATAAGGTAAAACTGTTTGATATATTTCCTGTAACTGTCTGTGTGGGTTTGAACGTTAATGTGTCGGGAAAAGCTTCTGAGAAGTGTCAGAGAGGACATTAGGAGTGTGTTCATTTAGATTCAGTTCAGTTCAACATGACAAGATTTTCTTTGGGGTTTTTTAAAGTAAGTTTGGGTTTAATTTCAGAATCAATGATGTTAAATGTTGTAAAAATCTAAACATAATTAAGACGACAGTCGTTACATCTGACACGTCTGTCTGTGTCCACCAGGTTACTCTCTGACAGTCGGAGACTTCAATGACGATGGAAAGGAAGGTAAGGCCGGAGATGAGTGTTTTAAAGCAATGTTATGTAACTGTCACTGAGGGACAGCGCCCCCTGCAGCCACACATGGGGATTAACTGTGTTGGTCTCTGTGTCTGAGGAAGTGGTTTTTCACATATAGAAAAACAAAGTGTCTCGATGTGTTGAGCTCTGACTCCTCCCACTGAACTGAAACACAACTGAAGGTTGGATATTACCCATGATCCTCTGCTTCCTGACCCAGCAGAGCTGCTGCTGTAACAAATCCACCAAACTGTTCAGAGTTCTTCATGTTTTAAAGTTTCTGCTGAACAGTGGAGATAAACTCTGGTTGTTAAGAACTGATCTCAGTTCAGCTTCACTCTTCACCTGGAGCTGATGGAGACGCTCAGTCACTTGTTCTCTCAGGAGATGAACCCACTCAGCAGAGAGAGAGAACAGACTCAGGGAGCGAAGGAGAAACGTTCTCCACGTTCACACTCACACATCAGACTCACTTTAATCAAGCTGCTGCTTCAAGGTAGAAAAGTTTCATAGTGTTAATTTAACTAACGTCAGTGGATGAACGCAGCTCTGAAGAAGTTTTCCTCAGTGAATCCACCTCTGCATTTGTTTTCTGTTTTAAATCTTCCATGTGAACACAGACCAATGCTGTGGGGCTGCAACTTTGATTCATCAATTAACTAAATTGAATAATCAAACCAAACCATGACTGTCTGTCCTCTTTCCTGTAGACTATGTGACCGGGGTACCTCGGGGAGAAAAGGCACTGGGTTATGTAAGTGTTTAAAACACACACACACACACACACACACACAAACAGCTCTCTATAGTTGTGAGGACACTTATTGACATAATGCATTCCCTAACCTTAACCTTAACCATCACAAATAAATGTTTGACTCTAACTGAAACCTAATTCTATCCCTTAAAACAAGTCTTTACCCTCAAACAGTCCATTGAAAGGGGGTCAGAAAGTGAGGACCGGCCAAAATGTCCCAACAATGATGTTGTAGAACCAAAACCGGCCTCATAACTACAGAAAGACATGCACGCTCACACACGTATGTGCTCTGTAGATACACGCATGAATACTGACTCTGCTGCTTTCAGACATTCACCAAACGTCCGACATGTCCAGACACTATTTTACACAGTTCATGTCTGAAACTGTTTGTGGTGATAATTCACTGCTATGGTGAACAAGCTGCGATGTCATTGGTCAGATGCTGACGGTGGCAGGGACAGGAGAACTTGTACAGCTGGACTGAAACAGGTTTATGTTTCAGGTGAACATCTTCAACGGCCGCAACATGGAGTCCATGGTCAACTTAACAGGAACACAGGTGAGCTGCAGGACTCACATCTGCCACAGGCCGACGTCAGCAGCTCTGATCTAGACATTGTGTTTTTAATTATTTTAACGATGGGACGTGTGGGTGCGTTAGGCTGCTGCACTCTGGAGGATCATTGGTCCATTTTCGTGACCTGGACACTTGAGTAGAGTCTTGAAATAAGTTTCCAGTGGTCAGTGTTTTTATGCATGTTATTTCATATACATTTGCAGTAAATGATGAAGGTCTTCTTCAGTTTGCTGTTTGTCCATGATGCCAACTATCACTGTTATCAGTTTCCTGTCCCCCTACATATATAATCCTTTTATAAATATGATGTGGTTTGACGCTTTGTCATGTAGTGAAACTTAGAAATAACTGGGCTCCTCCTCTCCTCTGTCTTGTAGATGGCTGCTTACTTCGGACATTCAGTCGCTGCGACTGATGTTAATAATGACGGGTAAGTCTTTGTACAGTGAGTTGCACAGTAAAAGTACTTCATGTAATTAGAGTTTCACAGTAAAAGTACACCAGCTCATCGCAACACGCTGTGTTAACGACACATGTGTGTGCCAGCTGTAGCATAGTCACGGTCCCGCGTCATGAAACACGACCTTGCTCTGAAGGAAATGACGCTGATCTTCCTTCATGTCTGTCGCTCAGTTTGGTCGACCTGTTTGTTGGAGCTCCTCTCTTCATGGACAGAGGCCCAGATGGAAAACTCAGGGAGGTGGGACAGGTAAGGAAACACACATTTGGCATTTTCCTGCTTCACAATAAAAGACTCAAATAAACAGCAATTTGAATATTGATGAATTGTCAATTCATGTGTGTGTGTGTGTGTGTGTGTGTGTGTCCACCAGGTGTCTGTTTACCTGGGGCGAGGTGGATTTTCCTTCCAACCACCTCAGATGCTGACGGGGTCAGATATCTACGGCAGATACGGCTCTGCCATCGTAGCACTGGGAGACCTGAACATGGACGGATACAACGGTAATAGATGCCACCACACACACACACACACACACACACACACACACACACACACACACACACACACACACCAGACTCTGAGCTCGATGGTTCCTGACACCCGTGTCTCTCTCCAGATGTGGCCATCTCTGCTCCTTATGGAGGCCCTGACCACAATGGCTTGGTCTACATCCACAATGGCCGCCTTCAGGGGCCCGACCCGTCACCTTCCCAGGTAAGTCCAACATCTGAAGCAGATTAGACTTTTACTCACATGAGGGCTGTAGCTCAAGCAACACAACTGTGGAAAGAAGATATTCATGCTCCCCAGAGGATAAATCCATGAAGCCTTCTGACTGTTTATTCTTTGCTTTATCTTCTGGCGCCACCATCGGGTCACATTTGTATTTGTCCAACACTTTTGTTAAAGACTACCTTTATACATTTTTCACAGAGGTGCCTGTAAACAAAGGATATCACTGTATCCTGCTGTCGCGTCACAATGTGAAAAACACGATATCCCCTCAGTGACCATTCAGTAGAAGTTCGTTCTTCATCATGTCACATGATCTGGACTTTGTCTTCGTCTTCAAGAACCAAACCTCCAAATGACAACATGTGTTCTGTCTCCTCTCTCAGGTCCTGCAGGGAAAATGGGCGTCCAGCTACATGCCTGCTAGCTTTGGATACTCCATGACTGGAAACACTGACATAGACGAGAATGGATATCCAGGTATGCACACACACACACCCACCCACCCACACACACACACACACACCCACACACACACACACTGAGAGGCCCAGCAGGAATGAAATGAACATCTGTGTCTTTTTCTTTCAGATTTAATAGTGGGAGTGTTTGGAGCAGACAAAGCTGTTTTATACAGGTAATCAAAACTCTGTGTGTGTGTGTGTGTGTGTGTGTGTGTGTGTGTGTGTGTGTGTGAGCGCACCCCTGCTGTGTGTGTGATGCTGCTGATGGATTCTCAGGAGTTTAATGAGCGAGACCACCTCTGATTTCAAAGAACTGCTGCTGTCGTTCATTTATCTCCCACTGACTGTGGATTCATTTAACGTATATAAGCTGCTGACGTTTTCATCCTGTTGTGTTACATGCAGTGACTTTAAAAGAACTGTGTGTGTGTGTCTGTGTGTGTTTTCATTGGTTCATCAGAGCCCGTCCTGTGATCAGTGTGAACGCCACATTGGACATTACACCTCAGATCATCAACCCAGAGGAGAAGACCTGCACACTTCCTGGAAGCAGCACGCTCGTGTCCTGGTGAGTTTTCACCAGTTTTACCTCGAACCAATCAGAGAGATGTTGAAGAAACGCCACTGTGGCGTCCTCTCGAAGTGACATTGACTCGCACAATGTCCCAAACCACCGGAGCGTGTTTCACCTTATTTGAACACCTGATAGAAATGAGCAGTTTTGCTGTTACTGTGTGTGTTTTGCAGTTTTAAGGTGAAGTACTGTTTGAAGGCCAGCGGCCGTGGAGCTCCAGCTACTCTCAGTGAGTAAAACGCCAGAGATGCTTCAGTTACCTGCTCATTATCATCCCCATCCTCCCTTCATCCCAGTTTCTGTCCTGATCCTCACTTCCAGACTTTCAAGTAGACCTCATGTTGGATCGTCTGAAGCAGAAGGAGGCGACAAAGCGCGTGCTCTTCCTGCACAGTCGGACCTTTCAGTACTCCAAGAACATGACGGTGTCCAACGGCAATGGCCCGGCCTGCGAGGAGCAGTCCGTCTTCCTCAGGGTGAAGAACAACACAGATGAGACAAACTCAGAACGCAGACTAATGGAAATAGCTTTTAGAGATGGGAGCAAAATAAATGATAGATACAGTGTTGAATAAATAGAGTTGTTAAATATACACAAACATATCTCCATGTTATCTTCAGTCGCTTTCAGCTTTATTATCTGATAGAGGACTTCTTCTCCTATTTATCTCAACGTCTTTGTCTCTCAGGACGATCGTGAGTTTCGAGATAAGATCACTCCCATCTCTGTGGCAATGGAGTACAATCTGGACTACCAGCAGGCGGCGGACAGCACCGGGCTGCTGCCCATCCTCGACATGGCGGCCCCTTCCAACGTCACCAAGCAGGTAACACCGGCGTGTGAGAGTGGTCTTCTGTGTGTTCCGCTGTTGTTTCTGTCTTTTTTCTGTCTTTCTCTCTCTCCTCTGATTCTTCCTTTCTTCCTTCCAGGCTCACATCCTGTTGGACTGCGGAGAGGACAACATCTGTAAACCAGACCTGAAGTTGTCAGTGAAGAGGTGGGGCTCTCATTTCATTCCTTCTGTCCGCAGCGTTTTAGCTCACTGATTTCGCTTGCGGTCATTTAGTTGTTTAATGTGTTGCCATTGCAGCGACCGTGAGCAGATCTACATTGGCGATGACAACGCACTGACTCTGGAGGTCAGTGCTGAGAATCAGGGAGAGGGCGCCTACGAGGCCGAGCTCCACGTCTACCCTCCGCAGCAGGCCGACTTCACCGGGGTCGTCCGCAGTCAGGTACTGTCCCTTTATACTTTACATTGTGAAAACACACGAGTGTGGAGCATGTGGTCGACTGAGAGCAGCGCTGAACAGTTTCCTGTCCATCGTCTCTGTCCACATCAAATAAACACACTGCTGCGACCTCAGACTTCCAGTGGTCGATGGGAAGCAGCACCTGACCAGGACGACGCAGGAGTAAACCTCCACCCCTGGAGGAAGCTCACCCTATATATGTTTACGTCCACATTGTCGTTGATGAGGTGTGAGAGCCAGGAAGCAGTTAACTCAAACCAAACACTGACACCGAGCACACAGCTGTGTGGTCCTCAGATGAATGTGTTGTGAAACATTGAGATGGTGACAGTTGTGTGTTTTATTCACAGACCCTCTCCAGGCTGTCCTGTGCTTACAAGAAGGAAAACCAGACCAAGATGGTGGTGTGTGACCTGGGAAACCCCATGAAGGGAGGAACCAAGGTCAGTGACCACATTACTGTACCAGTGGGCGTGCTCATGATGCATTCTGGGTGTTTGAGGTTCCACTCCGAAGCTGTTGTGGGGACTGGTGGAGCAGATGTTAGTTGAAAATAAACTCAAATATCAGGGAGAACAAATGAATGTGTGTGTAGTGTTTCCTTCTGTCCTGAATGTTTCTGATATATAACCACAGACGGCTCCTCCACACAACTCCTCTGTCTCCTTCTGCTTTCTGAATGGTCCTTTGCTGTCTCTTCTTTTCCTGTGATTGGCCAGGTGCTGGCAGAGTTGAAGTTCAGTGTGCACCAACTGTCGGAGGAGGACACGTCTGTCAGGTTTGACCTCCAGATAGTCAGGTACGGTCCTGTCAGTGTCTGTCTTCGTCCAGCACTCATTGTATCAGAGGATCAGAACCTGAACGAGCATAATGACATAATGTGACTTCTACATCGTGAGGAAGACATCTTCTCCTGAAATGATCCAGTGATCAGAGAATCCAGAGTGAGCAGAAGTTCATGTAGAATCATGAGGTCTTTAAGCTTCATCAGTATCACAGTGATCCAGTACGTTTTCTGTACATCACTGAGCTCACCACAAACAGGAGATCACAGTCAATTCAGCTGCTTTTATTTTGAAAGAAAACAAGCTGATCACACTCAATTCAGCAGCTTTTATTTTGAAAGAATACGAGCTGATCACAATTAATTAAACAGCTTTTATTTTGAAAGAAAACAAGCCGATCACAGTCAATTCAGCAGCTTTTATTTTGAAGGAACAGGAGCTGATCACAGTTGACGTTTCACCATCACTGTTCCTCCTTCAGAGGATTTTCTGTCACTAAGCAACCAACTGCAGAGGAGACAATTGACTTCCTGTTTACATCACATGACCATTGTACGTGAACGGTCATGTGATAGATTATTTCTGATCCAGACTGAAAACAGATCAGTGGTTGTTGTCTGGGTGAAATCCAGAAACAGAAAATGTTTGTGTCCATGGAATCATCTAAGTGATGGTTGTTAACTTGTTGTGATGGTGACGCGCTGGTTGACTACGTGCTCAGCTGAACGGACGTGTGAGCGTCAGGACTGAAGAGAGCTGAGTGTGTGAGCAGCTTGTAAACAGTCGTCTCTTCAGCCGAGCTGTTTTTCACTCTGCGCTCGTTGGAAATCCAGAAAACCCTGGAACAGCAGGAAGCAGCAGTCTGTCTCTACAGTTCTCTGTGTTTGTATTTCTGTGGGACGGAGCGGGGGGGCGGTAGAAGTATGTTAATGATAGGTTTCAGTCTGAGTCACACGGAGTCCTCAGCTCTGTGTTAGTGAAAGTCTGTTCTTTAAACTTTGAGCGTATTAACCCAGAACTACGACGACTAATCTGTAACAGCATTTGAATCATAGCTCAGTGAAATCTGAACACACACGCACATTAAACTCAATTTCAAATCCAGTGTGACGTCCACTTCCTGAGGATATCCTCAGTCAAGTGTTGCTGCATGTGAGGGGACTAAAATCAAACGTCTGCATGTGTCTCTAACGGGAGCTCTGTCTTTCTTAACTGAATCTGAAGCAGCGACTTTTTAATTTAAAGCTCGACACTGTATAAAATACTTAGTCTGTATTATAACCAATGCAACTCTTTCTATTGATAATATTATTATAAAAGTGGGACCAGGGTAGAGTCCGTTTCCACCCTGCGGCTGCTTCGAACATCGCAGCGACAGGAACTAACATCCATCTGTTAAAGGAATCTGTATCTGTCACATGCATGTTTTTTATGTGTTTCATTGTTGTTCAGTTTTTTATTTTGTAGCGATGATTAAAGATGTGTGTGTTTCTTCTTCAGCTCGAACCAGTTCAACAACATCAGCCCTCGAATCTCCACCGTCACTAAGCTGGCTGTCCTCGCCAAAGTGTCCATCAGAGGGTAAAACACGGTCATGGGACAATTAGAGCAGTCACTCACCTGGAGGAGTTTGTGTTTTTCACGTGTGTGTGTGTGTGTGTGTGTGTGTGTGTGTGT